TTCCTCGAAACGTTGCGCAACGTTGGATTACTTCCATTTTTGGATCGGTCAGCTGATCATTGACATATAACCCCGGCGACAAAACTTTTCAGCACCCCCACGTACAAAGGTTATAATTTTTTGCTGAAAAATTAGTAAACGTTCAACCTATCGAGATATTACACAAACAGCTGTGCTATCAATACGCGAAACGCGAATAAACTTAACGATTTGTTTACTGACAATAGCAAACATGGCTTCTAGTTCGCGATCAGAACTTACACTCTTTGAACGTGGAGAAATAGTTGGTGCTTGGAAATGTGGGCTGAGTGAACCAATAATTGCAGCACATCTAAATAGAGCTCCGGCTACAGTTCATAGAGTCATAGTGGCAAATCATGACTGCCAACAAGAAAAACCTCCTACTCGAACAGGAAGACCTAAAAAGATTACATCAAGAGATAATCGGTCAATAAAGAGATTAGTCAAAAAAAGCAGGAGGACAAGCCTGAGGGAGACTTTACTGTTAAAGAGGTTAGCTCAAACACATTACTATTACGTAGTCACCTTCACGAGATTGGTTTTCATGGTCGAGTAGGAGTAAGAAAACCACTTGTAACTGAAAGGAATCGGACCAAAAGACTGTGTTGGGCCAAGGAAAGACAAGGATGGAGCAGTGAATGGGATTGCATTATTTGGAGTGATGAGGTGATGGTAGGAGGCGGGTATGGAGAAGGCCTCATGAAAGATATGATGTAGACTGTCTTATACCAACAATGAAATCTGGACAAGATGGAGTAATGGTTTGGGGATGCTTTACCAAAGATGGTCTTGGGTCTTTAATAAGATTAAATGGAAAAGTTACAGCCAAGGACTATATTAATGTGCTAAAAGATTATTTAGTACCTTATATGGGGCATGCTGCAACAAAACCAGACAAAGTGAACATTTGATTATGTGACATAAATGAGAGGCTGATTATGATGTGGCTGTAAAATTGACCAGGGTGACTGATGACGTTTGAAAAGTAATAATGGTGCTTGTTAATAACTTATGGACTTGTTAATTTTAGTGCTCACTTTATTATACCAGAATGTGATGAATATAAATCATAACATGGTTAATATAGGAATATCTCTATATAAAAAATATTAGTATGAAACTAATTTACATTAAGTCCACTATGGAACCAAAGAATTATAGCACCATTCGAAGCATTCTAAAGAAAGCTCAAGGAGAAAAAATTGCACCTTATGTTTTTAAAATGAATGACACCCAAACTCTCCAGGAATATCTAGATCAAGAAAAAATCACTTATGAAATTTACCAAGAAGAACGAAAAATAATAAACCATAAACGAACATTACCACCAACTCATGATGAACCAAGGAAGAAACGAAACTTGAAACGTAAGTAAATTTAACGTAAAAGCTTCCCACAAGGATCAAGCAATTTATTAACGAAAGATCGTTCCTCTTATTGTTATGGTCTTGATAAAAGATACTCGAATACATTTATTAAGCTTTGGTTCGCATTTTGCTCTTTCGACACAATTGCAATCAAGAGTCAAATTAATTCTTTTTATCGTAAGCGTAAATTTTATTATTTTAATTATTGAATGCGCGCTCTTGAAGATATAATAATACTAAAAGCACCAGAGTGATTGCATGGGAGGAAAATACTCAGACCCAAAGCCATTTATGAGTATAACCCGTTTTTTGGTCACTCTAATGCAAATTAATTTTATTCTTCTTTACTATCACTATTATCTATTTCTTCATTTTCATTTTCCCCATCTAAGCGAATTACATCTTTCTTCTTCTCTTCGTCGGTCCAACATTAATAGTCTTTTTCCGCGGGGTTGTTCTTCGAAGATAAAAGTTTCGTATGGTGGAAGCTGCGACAGCTTTTTCTTCAAGTAATTTATAAATTTCGAATGCCATTTTGTTAAATGAAAATTTAGGGTCCAATTCGGTTCTTTTATCATAATTGCCTCAGATCGTTCCACATCGTTTCGATATCTGGTGAATAAATTTTGTTCGCCGATGGTTTCATTGTTAATGATTTTCTGGACTTCATATTCGTAATTAATATTCCCATATTGCGGAGCTGGCTATTAAAAACCATGCCATTTATCAACAGGCCGAGAACAAAGCCAATAAATATTCCGAAAAAGAATTCGCTTGTGAATGTAAGCATGTTTTGTAGTGTTATTGGCGAAATTAACAGATTTGTTTTAACGATGTATTGTTTCAACGATATTATTGCGTTGTGGTTAATTTTTGAAGTAAGTTAACCGGTGCTGGTTTTATAGTGAAATATTCGTTTGTTCATTATGTTCAAGGTCATAATTATCTAAGACCATCCGCAATAGCTTGGCTTACCCACAACTCCATAGTAATAGTTTTGTCCAACTTAGGATGCTTAACAGAACGCTGATGAAATGTGCTAAGATTCTGTTTTGTCGAAAGTATACTAAGCCATGGTTACAGTTGAGCAATCCATGTTAAATTAAATCTCTTGTTGAAATGTTTGGCAATGTCTGCATGGAATTTTTGTTTGCATATTCACAAATTTCGCGTTTATTATCAATGCTCAATTGAACTCTTTTTTTTTTTCGACTGGCATTGTAAGGACATTGTAAAGATTAAGAAACCTTGTTATTATGTAATGACAAAAATTTTTACTTGTTAATTGTGTGACATAATACTGCATTGATTATCATTGGTCACATTTTGCATAGAGGGGAACAATCGGAAAAGTTCCTAATAATACGTCATTGATTAAGCGCGTTAGTATATTAGATCACATCGCGCAGCACAAAACTTATGTGTCTTTGTCATATGGAAGACTTCAAGAAACTTCCCCAAGACTTACAAACTCAAGAAAACTTTGATTGTTTGTTGGAGCTCGAGCAAAAAAAGTTGGAATTGGAGAAGCTCTGCCTCCAACAAGGTTATGCAGGTAACGACTTTGACAAGCAGAAAATTAATTACCTTAGAGGCCTTTTAGAGCCTAGTAAGCAAGATACGATACGTAGAGGAGGAAGAATAGTTCGAATGCTGTTATTGGTTTTGTGCTATATTGCAAGAGAGGCAGTTGGGCGTTATTAGCTGGGGCAGAGCAGTGTTGTCAGTTGGGATTGGGACATAGAGCAGAGTTCATAGCAAAGGTTAGGTCATATGTGACTCATTTCAAAAACAAATTAGCAAGATATAATATGTTTGGGTTAAAGTAAGCAGGAGCAATGGAGGAAGAATAATTAAAATGCATTACGACATGCATTGGGTTGGGACATAGAGCAGAGTCATAGCAATGGTTAGGTTTATAACACAAAATGCTTATTGCAAAGTTAACTAATGCTTGTTCACATTACTTCACATCTGATTTGCTTTCCCTGCTACTCATCTCTGCTATGACTGCTCAACTGACATTCCTTCCATCTGTCCAGCTGCCACTACTGGTGAGTGATATTTTTTATCTACCAGACCATATCCACATCCTTTTATTCATACCACTAATGGCATTCAATGTGTTTGAACATTCCAACCTGTGCTGCTTTCATTGCTAATTTCCCCATTGACATCTGTTCCATAGTGCTGCCCAACCAATTCATTAATCCTAAACTAACTTCTGCATTCTATGTTCAGTCAGTCCATGGTACAAATATCTTTGGTGAAGGCCGTGATAGCCTTTGCGTGATTTCCAAAGAGCGATTAGACAAGTTTGACAAATGGATGACCCAAAACCCAATTGGCCTCCTACGTAGTCCACCACGTTCTGGTAAAACAACACTTGCAGGATTTCTCAAAGAATATTTTATGAAGCAAGGTCGCAGGGTTATAACTGTCTCGATGATCAATTTTCCTTTCTACGGAAAAGATCAAAATGCCTTCAATAACAGCTGGAGAGAAAATGGGGGGGGAGATCTCATGGGAGGATTGCTGTAATTCTAACATTCCAACAGATGTCATAATTGATGAAGCCCAGATAATTTACCGTCGTGGTCTCTCTTTTTTCTGGAATTCACTCAAGTCACTCAAGCAACCTGAATTAAGGAATCCCAATTTGCGTGTACTCATTATGAGTATGTATGGTGAACCAAGGTTCAATGCTGGCAGCAATCAGGCCACACCAATCGACTTTGAAGAAACCTTGGGATTGGATGATTTGCACATGCTGCGTGGCGAGTTTGAAACATTAACAAATGAATTTATCAATGCATCCACTGACAACCAAGACCCAATAAAAAAAGTTAACATCACCATCCCAGCAGAAATACGTAATGCCATCTTCAATGCCACCCGTGGACATGCCAGCCTTGTCAGAATAGTCTTGGATCTCCTACGGTCTCAATATCAAGGTGGTGCTCAAGATGCTTCTAAAATGTTTGAGTATCTGCTCTCTTTATCTTCTAGCTTTCAGAATGTCATTATTGGCACACGTGCATTTGCATGGTATCAGACCTTGGAATTCAATGCCAAGGAAATCGAATTTCTGCGGAATGCTTTATACCAAATGGATGATCAATCAACCTTCCCTGCCGATCCTCATTTATCCAAAGACACTGTCACCAAATTCAAATACTCTGGGATGATAACTGATGCTGGTGAAAGGTCTAAAGGTCGTATGCAATTTGCTGCTCCAATTGTGCGTCTTATGTTGCGTCAACGCGTGTTCACTTATCATGCTCAGTTGAATCACTTGTCCACAACCAGCAACTTTGATGAATTTTTAAAAATCACAATCCAGCGCATGCAACCATCAATATTAAAAAAATCTCTCAGCAAAAGTAAGAATCATCTCGATTCGAGATTGTTTGAGAAGGCCTGGCAAAATGAATGGTACAGGGCTGCCAGTACTGTTGTGCCACCTCACAGTTCGTTCTCAATCAGTGCTGATGTTGGCAGTATCTTTGGCTCTTCAGGAAAATTAGACTTTTACGTCAATAATGAACTCCAGTGGGGAGTAGAACTGCTACGCGAGGGAGAAGAGATGCAGGAACATGCAAACCGTTTTGATTCCGATGGAATATACTCTAAAATTAACTTCAATAATTGGGTGATAATAGACTTCCGACACGAATCGAAAAAGCTCCTCGAACCAAAGGAAGACTTTTGGCACGTGTTATACAGCGACGATTTCAGCAAAGCAACAGTAAAACGTAAAGGCCATCCTGATATGAAATTGACTTTAGGAGAAAGCGGCGACGTGACCTTGGGGAAACAGGATTTACTCGGAAACGTTGACCATTATCAGGGCCGGTCCACAAAACGAGTACGCGGGCCACGACGATAAGGTAATCTCAAAGTTAGAATACTGGACCGAAATGGTTAAAATATGTAAATGAGTTAATGGTAATGGTTAAAATATGTAAATGAGTTAAATGCTAATGGTTAAAATATGTAAATGAGTAGATGGTATTTCCACCGAAATGATGCGTGCTCGTGGAGTTGCATATCGCCGTGCTTATAAAAATGCTATCAAAATGGCACGAAACATATTATATCAGAAGGTATTTCATGGTATCAGCTAAGGTTATCCTGTAGAAAGATTATAGGAAAAGTTTGTAGAATACGCGAAACCGCCTACCTAAAATGACGTTTCAATAAATGCTAACGCTAAGACAAAAAAAATTATAAGCTCCAATTTTGCAAAACGCTTAAATCCACTTATTTCTGTTATGAAACTATAACTAAACAATTTACCTTACATTTATGAATGGTTTCCTTATTAGGGAAATATTTTAACGATTTACCGTAAATAAGGGCCCACCTTCTCCAGTCAGGACTTATACCAAAAATGGTTATCGATTCTAGAATAATCTTCTTGAATTTGATTGGCCCTTACTCGTACACTTCAACAACGATATTGACCACGTGTCATACAGAGGATTTACTGACGTCTGTGAAGCTAAGCACCGGCCATAAGGCTAGATCCTTAGGACCGATTGTATGTATAGTTGGCCCGACAATTAAAATCCACGGATTACTCAGTAAAAGAAATGGTCTAGCTGCCTCTATAAAAACTATTGCCTACGGAAAACAACCCTACGAGACAAAAATTTTTAATAACATTCATTGACAACATAGTTAATGATAGTCTTTATGCTTAGTTTTGCACCAGAGTGACCAAAGAGACAAGTTATACTCATTAACGGCTTTGATTATTTCACTTGTTTTCGCAATTAATATTTGAAGTCTTAACATGACACAAGTAAACTCATCATATCTCCATGCAGTGTTAAACTATAAATATGAATGCAAGTTTAAAACATCAATCACAGAGGCAACAATCAGACAATCTGATTTGCCAAATAATTGCTGGAATATCCGAAACTTAAAGGTAGTACAGGTTGTTAAGTAATACAACTTAGAGAAGTTAAATGATGCAACAAGTGATTCATTTGAGGAACATGTAGTGACTTTAACTTAATCAGTAAATATGTGCTCAGTTGCTAGAAATTGTAATTGAAGGCTTATTCAGAGAAGTTTATTCTTTCCGATAATATTCTTACTCACAAGTGACTGGATCCCAAGCTGTTTGTTGTAAAGGCTTTTCATTAACAATTGGTTTCCCCAAAAAAGTTCAAATTTACAGGCCTGATATCCAATCTTACCTGTTACGAAATTTTCATCCAAACCATCGAGGATTCCCATATCAGCATCATCAAGATGAAAATTAAAAACGTCAGCATTGCTCTCGATTCGCTCTTTATTTATACTTTTCGGCAAGCTCACAAAGCCATGCTGGAGACCCCAACGAATTAAAATTTGTGCAGAAGTTTTGTTGTGCTTTTTGCGCAATTTGGACAAGACTGGCATCGTCAAGCCGTTGAGCTTTTGCTAATGGTGAGTATGCCTCAACGACAATAGAATTGGCTTCGCAAAAATCAGTCAATTCCTGTCGGCGGCACCATGGGTGTACCTGATGATAGTTCCCCAGCATTAATATTAATAAAGAATAACCTTATCTAATCTAAAACGACAAACTAATACACAGCATATCATCGTTATAACGTCCGTGTTACCACGACACTCGCGTCTAAATACCTCAATCTGATTAACCGCGGGTTTAATCTCTGGATTCGTCTCGAATAGTTCCCTCAGATGGTGGATACCGTAGTTAGATACTCCAATGCTTTTCACCTTACCCGATTTGACCAATTCCTCTAAAGCTCGGTAACTTTCCAGTCGTTTCTTCTTTCCCGGCAAAGGCGAATGCAATAACAACAGATCAATGTAACCGGTTTTGAGTTTGACCAGCGATGTGTCGGCCGCTGCGAGCGTGTTTTCGTATCCTTGGTGGGCGTTCAAGATTTTGGTCGTTACAAAAACTTCATCACGCGGAGGACTATCCCTTTAAGGTATATCCAAGAGAATGTGAATTAACTTTGCAGTCGTTTTATCTTTGCAAGTGTCATGCAAAAGTGCCAAAAACCTACCGAGCTAAGATAGCTTCGCCAACGTCAGCCTCATTTCGATATAAAGTCGCAGTGTCTACATGACGATATCCAGCCTGGCATACAATATACATTCCAACCTCAGTATGCTACTTATATCTATTGTGCAATATGCTACTTGTATATCTAGATTCATCCTTACCGCCAGAGCCGTCAACACGGCGTTTTTGGTAACATCACCGGGTGGCGAAAGATAGACACCGAGACCTTGAAGGAAAAAGAAAAAGAAATTAACATGACCTCTTTTAAAGCTTGTTATAAAAATGTCGTGATAATTAGCCGTTTACCAAGAAGAGGAATTTCGCGCCCGTCGTTAAGTTTAGCGGTAGAATTGATGGATAGTTGACTCTCCATTCTTGATAGTACGAGGGATTTCAATTCCCTTACATTTTTTTGCTATGTGACATCTGCAAAAAAAATTGAAAACGTAAAGCTTAATAAACGCAACATCCGAAATGGAAATCTCAGTCATGAGTATGGAATTATATAAACGACATTACCATTTACAAGATTTTATCATGTGACTTGCTGATCCTGACAGACACTCGCGATGGTTCTGATAGATTTAATGTTAACAAATCCAACATGACCTCCACTATTACTATGTCAAAGCCTTTTCAAAATGTCATCAGTCACATTGGTCAGTGTACAAGACGTTGCGGGCAATACCAACGTTTGTGTTCTGGATCGGCGGGTTCAATGACAATTTACAGCCACACGATCCACTTTTACTTTGTGTAGCGAAAACAACTTGTTATATTTCTACTGTTCACTAATACTATCTCACCCGTTGGAACAAGTCAGCTTGGATGCAAGTCAGACATTCTTCTTAACTTGACAAAGATATGAAAGAACAAAATAGAAATTTTTATTGCTGGTTGAATGCGCCAGTACATATTATTCTTGAAGAAACAGCAGAGAAGTTAGACTGTATAGAGATTAAATTTCTTCCTCCAAATACTACAGCCTTTCTTCAACCTTGCGACGCCGGAATTATTAATTCTTTTAAATGTAAATATAGAACTTTATTTATTCAAAATCGAATTAGAGCATACGACGGTATTCAAGACGGCACCTCAAAGGTACTTGTCGACTATACCATATATGATGCTTTGATGAATGCATGGTCTGATGTATCATTGCAAACCATACGTAACTGCTGGCGAAAGACTGGTATTGTTCCCGAAGAGACAGTTATTGAGCGTTATGGTACAAATTTCGGAAGGTACAGTGAGGCATACAAAATTAATTAAAATAATAACCTTCATTCACTCAAAAAAATTTATTATTATTTTTTCGTTTTTAGTAACAATAACGACGAGGAAAAAGCTTTGGAAATGCTGCTCAAAAAATGCTAACCATTCAGTAAATGAATACATTCACATTGAAGATGAGAATAATTGGACCGACCATACTGATAAAGATGTAATAGAATTAGTAAATCGGGAGGAAACAATAAGTAATAGAGTAGCCAGCATATCAATCGATACAGTTTTGTATCAGCAAAGACAGAATTTGGCGAGGTTACCGAAGAAGTAAAGATTTTGAGAAGATTACGCAGAAGGTCATTTCAGCAAAATCTTAAACAAGTTAGCCCTCCACCATTTTGAGGATAAATTGATCCCAAAGGTTAGTGAGGAGGAATACGATCTCGCATTATTCCAAACGCATGTCTAAGTAGGTTAAGATCGGCTTACCAAAAAGGAAAAGAATTTTGAAAAGCTATTGCGAAGAAACGACTATATTACAGTATATGATGAAATTGGGGAGTTGAGGGATAAATTTGATAAATTTGAGGCGATACATAATAGTAATGAGAATTCGCGTAGAAGGAATGAGAAGGGGGTTTTTTTTTCTTTTTTCTTTTTTGTTATTTTCTATGTTATTGTATATAATAATAAATAAATAAAATTAGTATAAAATGTTGCCACAGTTGTGGCGCCAAATTAAAAATAACTATAATAATATATTGGCGCAATAAGCGTTATATTATATAGTTACTTTTTTCTGTCAAGTAAAATTAGCTTGATAATGCCATGAAGATTTTTTTGTTAGTATTAGGGAAATTTTATATCACAAAAAGCAGATAATCTTGTAATTTCTCTAAACTTGCCAATTTCTGGCCAGATTCACATTTAATCCAGTCGGATATAGTTTATCCTTTTGTGCGATCAAGATATCTTAACTTCTGGAAAAACACGTTACAGCAACAATAAGGAAGACATCGTTCGATCGGAGAATTCTCTGAGTAATGGGAGTGTTATTCCTTTCTTGTATTCTACACCCTATTTGCGACTATACACTAACAATAATATGAGAACGGACTATTGTTGACGCGAGAAAGATAAATGTTGAAAGAACGTGAAGTTATGTCCATTTGTCAGAATTCGGAAAGTCCTCGCAACTGCGTGAGGTCTTCATCTGGCGGTCTTGGAACGCTGTGTCATCAGCTATAACTTGTTTACAAAAATACTAGGCAAGACAGCAGTCCTCACAGAACAATATAAGTTGAACTGTTTTGTTCCGACTTCTGTTAAAACGGCCCAAGGTAGCTAAATATATACAGTCAAGCCTATGACGTGAAGTTTTACGAAAGGACGTGAAGTTTTACGATAGGACGTTCATGATGGACAACGTTTAGAATGTCTGGACGCAAAATGGTCTAGCAATCGAAGGGTCAAAATAAAAATCAATTACTATCATCTAGGAATACCAACCATATTTCCTTTTTGACATTTCATAAGACCTCAAAGTTGAATGACATTATTTATGACATCTTATGACATATTTACACACTAGTGAACTTCATTATACGATAGCAGGCGTGTCTTCAATCTCGGTTGGCACGTACACAACGTTTTCTTTATCTACGATTGATGGTAATTGGAAGTCTTTGGTCTCCTTTAAATAGTGTTTTTTCAACGCGTCTCTAGCAGCCTTTGGTAGAGAACAATAGATATTTAGTCAAGACAGAAAGCAAGAAAGAAGAAAAAGCTGAACGATGGACAATACCCTAAATTCTGCCATATCAAGAGAACTTCCAAATCCTTCTCCTAATTTTTTCGTTCCTGAATAGACGCTAACGATAAATGTCGGTGACTTTGACAGCCGGCCAGTTTCTGCCGTCAACCTAGCAGACAAAATTGGTACATTTGACAGGTAACTATGGAATATATCAACACTAAATGGTTACAAAGCCCATTTAATATTATCCGCACCTCGAAATAGGCGGCTCCTGTGAATGTCTTCTCATTAAATAGGATAAGTCCCGTTTAGGATTCACAATGTGCCTCTCGAATATTGCACCAACATTCACGTCACGCGACAGAAATTGATCATGAATAAAACTTTTTGCTGCAGCCGGGCCCTCCAGATGAACAAGCAAGATAAACAGGTAAGACGCATGTACCCCACTTTTACATAAATTCCCTAGATGAATAATCGTACCTGATCAAAATACAACGCCCCGACAATTGCACCGACAGCATCAGCAGTCACCTTTCCGATACCACGCGGCGTATTACTCTCAGGAACCCATCGCTTCTCATTCCCATTTGCAGATTGAGTTGCTAATGCTTCGTCAGTCACCTGACAGACAGGCACACAAAATTGATTCACTTTCCCGAAAAAAAAAGGTATGGCAACACTTTTACTTACGCAAACGAAAAAATTATCAATGCCGTTCACAACCTTACCTTTTGCCATCTGACCTGACGGTCTACTCCGACTTCTCGTCCGAAAGTACTCAATGTCGTATGCCCACAGTACATTGTCAATATCTCTTCCAATATCGGGAGTGGAAGTCGGGGATATTTCACATGGAGGTATTCAGTAACATACAGACCGAAAGCATTATTGCCTGTGAGTAAATATTATACCGGTTTAATACATGTAGCTTCTTCGCTTTTGCTCTAATTAGCATTCTCATACGTACCCAATACCTGAAAACCTTCATTTGAAGGCAAATCAGTATCCACATACGTCCTATCCGTTAGAGCCTGTAGCAGGATCTTTTGATTCGAGAATTTCAAATTTAACCTGGCACCAAGCGCGTGCATTCCAGCAGGTATGCTGTCTCGGACTGGCGGATCAGGCGATATCGGTATTTTGAATTTTGGTTTTATGACATATCTGGGGGAAGAATTGTGAAAAGAACGGGTAAGAGAAAGAGACGGGATGCGTAGAAACTGCTGTGGAAAATGGGTGATTGAGTGAATTATAGGTAAGAAGCGTGAAAAGGTGATGGGTAACGTCGAATGGGAGACGTGAAGAGGCATGGTAATTGTAGGCAACTAGATTTGGCTTTCTTTTTGCATTTATTTCACCATCTTGTGTGACATAAATTTTTAAACTCTAATCTAGATGAGCACGTGAACGGGAAATCTAAAAGATTACATCTGCCAATTCGATCCTACTCTGCTGTTAACGAACAAGATCACCAAATTATTCACTCAAGTCTTCAGCTCATTAGTTTATTTATTGAGCAAACGATTAATAGCCATTTGTCGCCGAATGCTATTTGCTTCTTTTCTTCTCGTTCCGTACCAGTGATTTTTTACGATTCGAGCGGTACGCCCGGGAATATGTGAAGCAATTACACTCCATTTAGGCCCATAATCGCAATACAAAAGATCAATCATGGCCCGTTCCTCGTCGTTAAGAGGATCGCTATTGACTGTGTATTAAACCATAATATATTATTAATATTAACAGCAAAAATAACAGACCAAATCAAGTATATTAATATTCAGATGACTCACTTCCAGGGCGTGTCGCATTGTTCCACCTGAATATAAATAAATCGTCAAACAATGATTTCCCCAGTTAGATAGATTATCAGTAAAAAGCACTTATCTTGCCCAAAATGTAACTTACCGTTCGTAACATTGTTTTGGTGTTTTAGTAACCATATTTATTGATATTTTAATCCACACAGGACCTAGTTCATGATGAAGTTTACGGAGAGCCTTGTCCTCCTGTGCAATATTATTAGAGATTAGCAAGTTATGTGAGCAGTGAGAATGAACGTTCGTTTACTGGTAAATATTATAATGGGTATAGGTCTTACTTCCTTCGTCCAGTATTCTCTCCTTAGGGATTTACTGACAGACATGTAACAAAGTAATATTCTCTCACTTGTGCAAAAGTTATTGTTTCTTCTCTATTAATCTTTTTAATCCCCCGGTTAAATGGTTATTTAATTACTAGTTGATACTACCGCCGTTGTCTTGCGCAAGGAAAATAGTAAACTATCCACTCGACGGACTTCGTTTTGTTGTCAGCTGTGGCGATAACAGTTCAACACACTTGGCAATGTTATCGAGTTATGAATTTATTTCCAAGTTACAACACTTGACAGTTTAGTCGCGGTAACGTAGTAAGACAGCTTACTGCTTTACAAATTAATAATAGTGAGAATGGAGTGCCTCGAGTTCAGTATCTTATTATAATTACTATTATTTCTATTATTATTACTAAAAGTACGAACTTCTTTGGCTTTGGTAATCGTAGTTGTTTGTACAAAGGAGAAACATAGTAATAGGTAACGATTTAAATACTTTTTATTTTACCGGTATGCTCAGTCCTGAATTCTCCATAAAAGACTGGATTTCGGGATCGAGTCCGGCCCCGCCAAAAATGGATCATGGTATAGAATGCCCAAAATACCAATCAAGATGCCATACGGTTTTCGGTATAATCCGGAATTCACCATATGGAGTTTCGTCAAAGTTACCAAACCATATTCATATTTATAATCGATGGAAGCAGAGCAAGACTGGGAATTCTACCTTTAATTACAATGGAACGTTGACGGAATTAAAGTCACAAGAGAAGTGCATATCCGCACTCCAATCTCCTTTTGATTTATACCAACAAACAGTTTTCCTTACTCAACCATACAAGTACACTATACCTATATTTGTTATTTAGCGGGCGTTGCGTAAATCTACGGAGTATTACTCCCCGGTTAGCATGAATGCTTCTGTTCGACAAGCGAAATCCTGGTAACAATTTGTTCGAGCTCTTTCAGGCGGCTACTTGATCTGAAAGTCTTAGTATAATGGTTCTTACCGTATTTAATTAAACAATCTCGGATGCCAATCAAGTCTTAAATCATTAAACGCACGATCCGTTTTAAGAAGAACTAGCTTAGGGATGTCAACGCTAGCATGTACACAGTGAAAGTCGATATAACGGACTGTTCGGGACCAGCGTTTTAGTCCGTAATATCGACGAGTCCGTAATATCGACTTGTGAGTTTTGTATCAGATATTATTTAGTAAACAAATTCCGTTCCAGAGAAAAAGTCCGTTTTATTGACGGTCCGTTATATCGACTTTCACTGTGTATTAGTATAGGCATTTGCACAGTAATAGGTATACGGCGCATTGTGATCAATTTTTGATTATTATCATTACGCGCACACGTATCGTAAAACGGCTAGCTAACTGGAATAATAATAACGCTTGGAGTGTCAGTTGGTTAGTAAGTTTCTGATACTGAGACATTTTATTAGAAAAGAGATCAGCGCAGAATGTTTGATCTGTGTATCCACTAATCTCGAATTATATTAGCCCTGGACCCCTTGCTTTACTAGTATATCAACTGTTAAAGATGTTCACAAGCATTATTTTCTTGGCGAAATTTGCCTTGGAGCAGCTAACCCTCTTGGTAAATACGAGCAGGAAAAAATAGCAAACGTATGTGGCTTTTTTGATTATCTTGAGGGGCGCATTTTATAGTATTGTCACATCACGGCTTATCACTAAAATAAAAAAGCCTTTTCGAACGAGGCTGTGCATGGCTGGTGCAAAAATTGCGACTATATTTAAGCCTTTTTCGTGTAAAAGAGATTGGGTTATTTTCAACGTGGAATTTTTGCATTCTCTGCCCACCTTGAAATTTGATAATAGCAACTTGTTCTCATCGCTCCGTTGACAGTTCATACAGTAATCAACGTTACTACTTAGTTAACATCTTTTCTTAATATTTATCATCCCCTTAACTACCTCCTCCAAAGTTCGCCAATATGACAACAGTGAATCCCGATATGAAGGCCTGGTTTTTAGACGAAACCAGAGTCATAGACCAACGCATTGCAGAAATTCAAACCAACATAACTCGCATCAACGAGCTCCAAACCAATATCCTCACTGGTACATCTAGCCAACAAGAAGCTACCAATGCACGTGAACGAGAATCGATAATGACACATACAAAGTCCATTTTGTTCGAAATTAAAGATAAAATCAAAGCAATAGAACGCGAAAATGCTAGATTGCCACGAGATCATCCCGAACTCAATCTTCGCCGTCAAAGACATGCCCATCTTCGTGAGAAATTTACCAATGTTCTTGAAGAGTACCGTGGCATCGAAGAGGGTTATCGTCAAAAACAGAAGGAAAGAATGGCTCGTCAATATCGTGTGGCCAACCCCGACGCAACACAGACTGAAATTGACTCGTATCTTAATAATACATCTAATCAACCCATTTTCGCTACTAGTCTGGTTCGTACCAGTGATGCTCGGACAGCATTGGCAGAAGTGCAGAAACGACACGACGATATCAAACAGATAGAACAGACAATTGGAGAACTGGCTGATTTATTCAATGAGATGCAGTTGCTGGTCGAGGCGCAGGATGATGTATTGGTCAACATTGAAGAGAACGTTGACGAGACGTTGATGAAGACGGAACAAGCGAACGAGCATTTAACTACTGCGACTATGAGTGCACTTGCTGCTAGGAAGAAAAAGTGGATTTGTCTAGGAATTTCACTTCTGGTTGCGATTATTGTTATTGCCATACTTGTGGTTTACCTCCATCCAAAAAATATTATTCCTAGCAATAGTGGTAATACCTCCAATACTGTCACCGTAGTAAACACAGTGACCCCGACCCCGACTACGAGGCCGACGTGAATGATGGCTTGAAGAAGTGAATCTGAATAAGAATTTATTTATTTTTTTGTACAGATGGAATTTTATTAGAACGTTGTATGTGCTAATTTATGTAAAATAAATTTTCCTTGTAAACTTGTGCGTGTTGGATCATGTGTAACATAGAAATAGATGAAATTTCCAGTAAAAAAAAAAATTCTTTGAATATTTTTATTTCTTTCCCGAGAGTATGTCAGACGAAATTATTTGGCAAGTTATAAATCAACAGTTCTGTTCATATAAAGTCAAGTAAATCATTTTCATGACCTTTTCTCGCTATAACCTTTACTCTCTATAACCTTATTCTAACGTAATATTCGACCAATGCAATGGTGTTCCTGATCTGTTACGTTCCTCCCTCTCCAACAGAACCGAAACTCAAAACTTCTGTCGAAATACATATAATGTCACAGGCTTTTGTAATAGACAGTCGTGTCCGTTAGCGAACAGTCGGTATGCGACTATTCGTGAGCAAAAGGGTATTTCGATGCAATGATCGCCAAAGCAGTCGATTTTTTTTTGTTTTGTTATTCATAAGGCATTCGATTTCATGCTTTACAATAGGCATCATTTATTTATACGTAAAAACTCCTGAACGAGCACACACACCGGCAAAATTATGGCAACGGATTAAATTATCTAAAAATTACCAGAAAGCTCTAGAAACCGTACGTATAATGTAACCAAACGACAATTCACACGCAAAAGCCTTAATTACGACATTTTTATTTTCCAGATCGATAAAGAGTTGGAAGAGTGGCCAAATTTTTTAATACATAAATGCAAACAGCGCTTGACGAAAATTACCCAATATCTTATCCGAATGAGAAAATTAAGGAAGAAAGAGGGGTACATGTTGTTCACGGGAGTACTGTTATATTAACAAGCTTTCGTACACTAAAAAGTCATTATCGTCATGTAGGCCCCAGTTAATTCCTATAAAGAAAAAACTCGATCGTCGAGAGGCAACTCGTGAGCGTAAGGCAGAGGCAGCGGCAAGACTAAACAAGGCTGTTGAGAAAGAATTAATACACCGATTGAAATCAAGAGCGTATGGTGATGCTCCTCTAAACGTGAATGAGGACGTTTGGAGAAGTGTGCTCGAGGGAGATGAGGTTGCGGTTGAAGACGATATCACAAGCGAGAGCGAAGTAGAAGATCTGGTTGAGGTACGCCCATCACCCTCTTTTTTTTTTCTTCCAGTTGACGGGATTTTGACATGAAATTGACAATATGTTTATATGGGTACTCCAGAATGAGCGTGAATTTGTGTCAGATGTTAGTGACGACGAATCAGTTGATGATATAGAAGATATGTTGAACAAGGTAATTCAATGACCGCTGTCTCGCTACAGTTATTATCGGAAAGGTCATGACTAATGATGATATGTCATTAATTTCAACTTTTAGATGTCTGAAGACGAAGTCGATGATGACGACGATATTATGACAGAATGTGTAGAATTAGAATACGAATAGTTCATTTACCGCATATAACATAGAACACAAAGATCTATCTCAATTACAGCTCTACAACATCTGCCACATTATGAGGGCTAATAGTATCGCTAATCCAAACAAAAGAGTGATGACTGCCACTGCAAGGAAAGAGTTGCCTAATGACGCATACGGTATTAGCCATAATCAGTACCATACAAATAAACTCGTTTACGACTACGAAACTTACCTTGGCCGATAGTCTTTGGAATCACTACCAAATGTACACTGTCAATACTGCCGCTCACCAAGACTGACGATGAATGATTGAAAACTATGGTTGTCGGCGAAAAGCTGTGAACGTCTGAGAGTCTTAACAAGACCTAAAAGGAGGTTGCAACATCATTAAAAGCGCCAAGAAAAATTTTGGTTTTTCTTCAGTCAAGGAGAATAATACATACTCGAAGGTTTCTTGAATCACAGATACCGACACTTAGATCGGATGATCCATATGCCAAATACTTTCCATCGTTACTGATGAAAATTTAGTATCAATCTATTATCTTTGTCGCCGCAATTGTCAGAACAAGCTGATAATGAAGTACTGTCTACCTTATAGCAAATGTAGTAATAGGTTTGCTTGCGACTGTCTTTGAAGCTACTTTATTCCATGTCTCAATATCCCATTTTACAATGAATGCTCTTCGACGGTTGGATGGATTCACAACTACATAGAGAAAGCCCGCGTACTCGCCTTGGCCGTAGCTAAAGATTGTGTGTTGTGAGCATGATTTCAGTTTGTCAACTGACTCTATGGCTTCGGTTGTCAGGAAAAAAGACAACAATCATAGCGATAATCTTATTCTCACCGGCAAGCCCTAAATTGTGCATCGACAGTCTTCTGAAACACAGGACGTTCGATCGTTTGAACAAGCTTTCCGTCCTCCGTCGCCCATACGCCCAAAGTCTTTTCAGACAAGGCCGTTATCTGGGTATAGCTTAGACTTAGAAAGATATAGGTGATATTCCTTTTTGTCACTCTTTATACAAAAAAATACCTGTTTTCCATCAGAACTAAAGTCAAGGTCATATATTGTCTCTTTGTTGTAGTTAATCGGAGGAAAGGCCGGGGCCAATGACGGATATTTGTATACAGTAAGCTGAGCCGAAGAAAAGAAATATCGCTCAATCTCGGTAAAAAAAAAACACATAATGTTTATGATTTCGGATCCATTCATTACCTTACTATCCGTCCCGCCCAAGGCCAGAAGTTTACCGTCTTTACTAAACCTAATTACTTTCTAGTCTCTGAAGAATCAATATCACAAGCAAGCCTATTGATAGGGTTCAAAATAAGATAGCAACAAGACCAACCAAATAGTCTTCAGGGTCTGTGCTTGACGATGTTTGTTTCTTGTCAACCAGATCAATTCTAAAAGGTTTATTGTTTTTAACATTTATTTATGAAATAAATTGGGCCTTAAATGGAACGTGATGTAGTATAAAGACAACTTACTTTTCGTTATAATAATTAAAAATTCGACAATTATAGTTTTCACCAGCCTTTATACTTTCTTCCGTGCCATTAATTCCACAAGCAACCACATTATCCTGGCCAGAAAAATCGGCATTTTAGATTCTTTTGCACGAAGGAGACGACGAGACTGGTTTTGGAATGACTAATTTTATTTCACCTCTGGATGAATTGCCATACTCATTGGAGCATCTTCACCTTTCTCCAGTTTATATTCTGTCAATTGCTCGATTTTTTTCGCGGTTGGGTCAACCTTATAGAGTGCCTACATTACAGCCGTACTTAATATATAACATGTAGTGATAGGACTATATACAGTGTAAGCAGAAAATGCATCATACGAGCTTATTTTGCACTCCCGAGCTAGACTGGCCGCCCCCACCTCCGACCAAAAGTTCTCCCGCAGGATTAAACGCTATATCACGAAATAGTTGGATTAGGATCGAAAACTAAACAAAGCAGGGACTCTTTTGATCTTTACCTGTGCAATAAACGGGAAACCCGGCGCTCGCTGTAAAATGTTCAACTTTTGGCATTTTATTTATTTATGTTATAATCCAAAAGGCGAGTTGAATGCTCTGATCTGATAGTTTCACAATACTTTTAATACGTGAGAAATTAAATCCTACAAAGTTAAAAAAAAAATTCCCAATTTTTTTTGCTTTTTGTAGAATTAATAATAATGAAATCAAAAGTTGCCGAAATAGAGAAAGATATCATTATGGGAGACATAAGTGAGGAGGAAGAGGAGGAGGAAGTAGAGGAGGAGGAAGAAGTAGAAGAAGAAGAAGAGGAAGACGAAGACGAAGAAAACGAGGAAGAAGAAGAGGATCAATGGGAAGACATAAACGATAGTGGGAGAGAAGAGGAAAAGGTCAAAGGAAAAAAGAGCTCTACTCAAAAAACAATTGATTCAGCAGCAGCAAAATCGTCAGTCACCTCTAATATTCCGGATCTTCAAGAAGAATTGTCTCTTGACGATCTAACAGGATCAGAAATGGACGAAGACATAATTCCAAAACAGAAGCTAACGATTAATAACAAAGTATGTTGCATTAACAACCAAAGCAAGAGAAAAAGTCTTTGCGAACCAAGGATGTATTGAATTGGTGAATGACAAACTCTTCAATGCAATTAATTAGACTGCACTGAAAGAACTTTATAAAGAAATAAAACTTGACGTCCCATGGATCGAGACACAAGCCGTTACTTCAGAGGATCCGATTCAAATTAAGGACGCAAATAATGACATGGAGCGCGAGCTTGCATTGTAAGTATGTAATGCACTGTTCTAACTTCTCCCTCTCCTCTCTGCCTTTTAATAAAATACTACTCTCTTTTTTTGAAAAGCTACAAGCAAGCTCTTCAGTCAGCTATAACTGCTCGATCTCTCTTTCAATCCCTCTCTGTCCCATTTTCCCGTCCTTCCGACTATTTTGCCGAAATGGTAAAATCCGACGAACTCATGTCACGCGTACGACAACGACTTCTTGATGAAGATGCACAAATTAAAGCTAGCGAACAGGCCCGAAAACAAAGGGAGTCAAAGAAGTTTGGAAAGAAAGTACAGTTTGAAAAATTACAGGAGCGACAAAAGAAGAAGAGCGAGGAACTAGAAAAAATAAAAACAATGAAAAAGAGTGAGTGTCGAAAGTCATGCAAGGAATTTGATTTCGAAGGAAAAAAAAAAAAGAACATGATCGAAAATGGAGAAACTAAATAAATCTTGCGCATCGTTTCGTCGACTTTTAGAGAGGAAAGGAATAGAGGATACGGCAATAGATGATGATTTTGAAATTGCGTTGGAAGAAGCCGCGAGAGAGGATCGACCAGTGAAGAGACAGAAGATTGGAAAAAGTGCAAAGCGAAGTAAAAAGGTATGAGTGACGTTTGGATATACAGCAATAGCACACTTGGATGTATACAGTCGACGTGGTTACCGTTAATCAAGTTGTCGACCTGGATGTCATCGAGAGCAAGCCAAACCGTTTAGTTCCTCTATCGAAGAAGGCTATTTGCCATGTTCACATCTTACAAATGGTGTAACTGTATCATCTTCGTTCTGTAGGATGCCAAATTCGGCTTTGGTGGAAAGAAGAGATACGCAAAATCTAATACAGCACAGTCAACAGCCGATATATCAGACTTCAATCCACGGGCTATGAAGGGCGGCTGGGGAGTAAGTGTGAACATTTAGTTTCGCGTATTTTTGCTAGTGCATTTCGATTTTAACACGCACAAATCGACGTTCAGGAAAAGAAGAAGCCTAAGAATTATCGATTTGGAAAGACACGGAGACAAACCATGAAGAATCGAAAACGAGGTTGAGGCCTGTATCCAGTTCTAATAGCAGATACTGACAGAACATCAGAGTTGTTAATAAAAGCGAGCGAATTACTTCCAGTTTTGGTCTGTGTAGTATATGCTAATCTTCTCGTGGCTTAACATAGAATTTCTGCTCGCCCGTGGCATATCCAACACTATCCCCAAAATCCATTTTACCATTTCCGTCAATATTATGGTATTCGGCGTTCCGGGTTTTGGTCCACATTACGTCACGTTTTGTAGGATGCTCCACGCCCTAAAATTTTATCACGACTCTAGCGCGCTTCAACTCTGCGACTATATAATGCGATATTAGTAAATTAGGCACAAAGTGCCCTGTTCCGCAGAATTAATCTGAACAACCCGAAATTAATAGGGATTACAGATCTAAATGAATTAGAAGTCGGAGTATAGCGATAGCTCGTGATCGGCAATTCCGGATCAGCGATATAACGATATAACGATTGATAAAAAATTCTAATTCTTGAACAAAATTAATTAACGCTCTAGGGAGGGGCATAACTCGTATAGCAATATATCATGTGGGTAATATGTAATAATAACAACCCCTTTCTTCAATCGTAGATCAGATTACAGAAACCTCATCTAACACGATGATTTTAATTAGTCACACGGCCTGATTGGTGTGCCGTATTGGGTCGTTAATTAAGCTGTGTTTAGTACAAGTTAAAGTGATTCAATCACTTCCCAACTTCCCTACCAGCTCATCTAAAAGGAAACCATAACCGATTTTACTTTTCTCCGATTTTCTCGTTTGCATAAATTGTGATTTAACAAGACAAGCTGGATAATCAATCTCTTTACAATATTTTCTCGTATGTCTTGATCGACATATCGCCTTGTTGACTTGATTCCGATTTTTCGTCATTGCTGATATCTTTATTTTGATTTGACATTGTGTCAGTATATTTAAATGCTTTGAAAAAAATAATTCGGTCGCGGTTAAACTCGTGATGGGTAACGTTTCACAGAAACTCGTGCACATTCCATGATTAACAAAATGCGCGTGCGACTTTTACGAAAGGCGATGACTGATATAAATAATAATTCATTATGGAGGGGGATTTACAATGATAATGACAACAATATTTCTTTCAATATCCTCGGGTTTAAATTCTTTTAAAAAGTTCTCCTCTGGTTCCATAAGATTGTGCGGGACATCGAGATAAAGACCAATGTCATCGTCATCGTTCAATCGGGTGGCTAGTTTGTTTTTGACTCTTTGTTTGACTTTGCTGACTTTTTCTTGCCAGGGAATTTCGATCGTGAAAGCTTTGTCATCTGGATCGTCATGAACTTTAAACTTGGTTGTAAGGATATTGGGTTTCTCAGAGCTGGACATTTTACGTTTTCGTCTCAAGAGAGAGCACTCTGCATGTAATATATTAATTCATAGTAAGCAATGAAAAAGACCTTGTCCGAGTCCTCCTGGGTGAGACACATACCTGTTGCTACACGGGAAGTAAAGTTTCCTTAAAAATCGTGGAGTTGGAAATCAATGATTCAAAGTAGAGCCTCAGAAAACTCCACTTTATTTATAGACTGCATCAGTGCCATTTCTCCCGAAATAAGCAATGCTTCATTCAACTTAGAATGGGCTTGTAATCCCATAAAGAGATGGGAAGCATATTATTATCACAAAAATATTGCGTCATTCATTCATATACCAAAACTCATGATTCTGAAAATCGGTAGAAACATTACCTCTTAAAGCCTGTAAATATTGCACAAGTTTTTGGGAGTTTTGGTTGATGATCTCAGTGCGGAAAACGCAAAGCCGATCTCGGCCTGAGTTTCCACTTCCTGTGTTTTTGCTAACGGCCCACAACTCTTATCTCATAACATTTGGGGAATGATCTATGAAAATGGGTAGTTGGTGATTTGGGGTGCAAATTTAGTTTTTCGGTAGCATCTCAATTCTGTACCCTAATCCTTGCCGATCATCATAACGATAACAATAATAAGGCCGCTTAGATTTTGAGGTGACATGTAAAATGGGGATGATTACCATAAAACGGCCCAATTTCTTTGAAGATGATACATTTTTTGATGCAGTTGTTAGTTTATAGTAAAAATTTATCATAGATGTGCTGTTGACTGTAAGGGGAACCACTGTAGTTAATAGTATGCTACGTACATTATTGGTCAGGCCCAAGAATTAGGTCAGATGACTTTGAATCATCATTTAAAAACCAACATGTGACATTTATAAGCCTTGAAGTCGCGTTAAAATGGCGGGTAAGTCAGTTGTTATATAAGTGTGTGTTGTGATATTCCCTTTACTAAGTACAGTACTTGTTTATTACTTATGTAGATATGTGTGGTTTCTTTGCAGAGAATGTGAACGATCTTAAAAATTGGACCCATAGTAACGTCGTTGAAGCATACGTGAACAAATATGGTCCTGATCCAAACATATTTTTTGGTAAGATTTATAGAGATTTACATGCCATCCAAGAAAACGTATTCATAAAGGAATCGGTAAAGCAGAAGGCAGAAGAATTCCTGACTAATTGGCAGGAAAGTACACAGACATTACTCGTGTTTTTAGGGGTTTGAATAAAGGATAAAGGTGAAACCCACCTGAAAGAGGACATTAGTTGGTGTGAATAAGTCACATCGCTTGCGAGTGGTGTGGTGATGGGTTGCGACTCGCGTTCTCACCAGCTGTCCTTGGCAACAAGCTACATTGCTTGCGAGTAGTGTAGTCATGGGTTGCGACTCGCATTGCCCCTTAAACCAAACTGTTGTATCTTTCTTTCTTTGGATCTTCAGATCAATGTGTAATAATAACATTGTTAATGCATAGGTTTGGACTCAGCATTATAAAAGGCATTATAAGGGTGAGGCCGAAGTTCAGCAGCTCAAAGTCAAGGAGGATATATTCACGCTTCGAGCCAGCACAGAAGCAGTAAGTATTTGTAAACGAGGCCAACAGACATATAGAGGTGAGAAGCCGGAGATCACGTCTATATAATCTTCTATACATCTTAGACCCTGACAAATGCAGAGGGTGCTCTTAAAGCTGGCAAGCTGCTCAAGAACCATATGGAGGCGGCTGTATTAAAAAGCACGCAAACTTTGAAACGGACACACAATGATAAGACAGAGAACCCAGACCCTGTAGGGCAAGAAGAAGAGGATGATACAGATGAATTTGACGATAGTGCAAGTGAATTTGACAATAATGCAAGTGAAGTTGTATCAAACAAACGCGTATGCTATGATCAGTTGGAAAAGTGCGGCAGGAGAAGCAGCAGAAACAATGACGGAGATGCAGAAGAACAAGCGGTAAGATTTAACTTTATGTATATTTACATTCTCTTCCCTGTATTCTAATGTTCTTGATTATTTGATTATGCTTGACAAGGATGAATCTGCTTTGGATTTGAAATTGTTATTGGAAAATTATTCTAAGAAAAAAACGACATCACCATATGAGTAAGTCTTGCTTGCCATGAATCTGTTTTCTAAGGTACTCACTCTTCATTATCTATAGTCCATCTCATAGCTTTATACTGGATTTGTCGCCACTATCTAAAATCCGAGATAGTATCAGCCGTGAAGAATGGGCTATGCTAGTATCAGATAAACCTCCAATAATGCAAAAGTCGTATCACCATGAGATCGAATCTCTTCTTGTTCATTTGTTTGGAAAGTTTGATAAAGGAGTAAGGACATTTGGATTACGAGAAGTGAAGCTCTGTTTGAGTATGTGTTGGCAACTAAGATTTTCTGCTACTATAGAGACCTGCTAATCTGTTACAAGCTCGCAATTTGTGGTACACTCTACGTAGCCTGCCTGCTCCCAAATATAGTGACAATTTCTCATATAATAAAGATGAATGGAAGAAGATTCAATGTTGGGTCGAGCAAGCTGTTGGGCACTTGTATGTTACATGAGTATCATTTGCATAATTTTTTTCTATGGTGAGAGTTGATGGCTTTTCCATGCTATAGTTTGGATGCCTTTGAATCTTCACGAAACCCACTGCAACAGGGTGGCTGTCATGAACATGAATGGTTCCATGGCTATGTAATTCCTATCTTTCAAAAGGCCCTGGCCTTAGATAGCACCTGCTATGTGCCATGGTAAGTTGTCTGTTTTCCTTACACATGTGACATTCAAAGTATTGCCTTGTACTATTTGCACTGATCTGGATGAATAAGAAATTTATGTGCATATCTTTGTCCTCAAGGGGAGAAGTCTCGGTCTTAGCATCCCAACGTCGTCATAATCACAATAAGGATGTTTGTATAGTAATAGAGAAAGTTGAACGTGTACATATGCTATGTTCGTATGAGCAGTATGAGCTTGTCTGTGGACTGTCCTGTGGTGGACCACACTTCCATGATCTTACAAAATTGAGCTCAGATGAGTTCAGTCTTCCACGAATAATGAAAGACATGCTTGATGACATACGATTGAAGTTTCATTGTGCTTCCAAGGATGAGTCACGATTGTATGTTCTTGGATTGCAAGTACGTTTATGTATTAAGGCACTCTTTTGAATTTGGGTGCAGAGATTTAATATCAACATGTTTATGTATTACTAGACTTATATGACAGAAATTCGCATTTACTTAATGGATAGACGTGAAGTATATCGGCTCCATTTTGTCAAGACTTTTACCCTTCCACTCGCATTTCCTGCTTATCAGAACTTGAGGACTGCACTGAAATGGGCTTGGAATGTTCGGGTAAATTTATTTCAAATTTATTGCCTAGGTGATTCCATTAAGTATTAATAAATTGGATAACAAATTTCTAGGGAATGGTCAAAGGATTGATCGAAGAAATTGAAAAGGATTCTGATGACGACGACGACAGAGTCAAGACACCATTGTATGAACCTTTGATCATGCCAACCCAAAATACACCCAAAAAGGTCCCAAAGAAAAGGGTGACGAAGAAATGAAGAAAAAAGCGCTTTCGTATATCTCTACGATCATACTGATAAATAGACAATACTTAATCAATCGATGCGAAATAATATAGACAACTCATATGCACCAAACATCTACATGAACACAATAACAGACGAGCGTCCTTATTATGATAAAGTAACCCCACTCACGAGAAATGGTCGGTTTTAGTTTGGAATAATTATTTTCGAAGTGGTACCACTGCATAAGACAATGTCGAAAATTGCTATAAGTCTAACCCCTCAGATGAGCGTAGCTAAGCTTAGCAGTTACAGTCCAGGAAAAAAATAATGGCGGTCAGCAAAATATTTTTACAGTAAATCTTGCAGAGTAAACGGTCGCAAAAATTTGGGTTTAAACTGCTTAAAAGCACACGGTTACGTTCTAAAAAAGTTGATGCATAATAATAATAATATTACTGTATTAATTGTTTATGTTTCAATGATGTTTAGAATAAATTTTTAAATTTTAAAAATTTAGCAAGTGAACTTGATAAAAAACTGTAGGCCATATGTCAGGCATCTTTTTTACTAAGAAAATTAATCTTCCAGAACTATTTACAATAACAAATGCTCCCTTATTTGCAGTTCCCCTTCAATACAAAATTTAATTGATGTAATGCTAATGTTATCTATGAGACCAGCAGATGTAAAAGGGCTTTGTATCAATTATTATAAACCGAATTGCGCAGACTGGTATAATTCTAAATATTCTCGGTACTGTACCGGATATGCTAAAAATAAAAATAATGAACCTCGGCCATTTCTTTCTATGGAAAAAAAAATCTGGTACGGGCTCGAGAATTACTTATCTGGATCCAAAAGGCTATACCAAAAAGATTTCCATTCACGTTAAAGGGTGAAGATGATAACGTAAATGTTTATCCTATTAATAACTTCTTAGCACCTTATGGTATTAGCTCATGTCACTTACGGAAAATAGAAGTTCCAGAGTGCAAGGTTCAGTGGCCATGCATAAAATAACATTCTTTATCCGTGTAATTGTTATTATCACGTGAAATGAAGTCTTTTTTTGCAGAGAAAAGTATGGTCGGCAGCTGCACAAAAGGTTTGGGAGTAAAATTTCGGTCGCAAAATATGTTTCTAACTAAAAGGTTCGATATCAAACTTTCGGCCATAAACTATTTGTGTTCACAAGAAAGTATGTGTTAGAAAAATTTCGTCGCGATTATAATGCAACTAAAAATTAGTGTCTGAGCCACACCCAAAAATTTAGATGCATAGAAATTCTCTAATACTTAATGACTTGCACAATCTCTTTTGTAAAACTGCTCTTGAAAGACATTCGGTTGATAATAAATAGACATCCTGTATTAGTATGGGGACCCCTCAATTAACAGCATATCGAGTCATGCAGGACTCCGTTATCGCCAAAAGTTCGATTATTCGTCTTAACTCTATAGGCACAACGAGCAAGCTTTCATTTGTTTTAACTTTGAGGGAAAATGGTAATGAAGCTTTATTTGATCAGGAAGAATAAAGGAAGTAAAGCGTAGGTAAAGCGGCAACACATAATTGGTGAGAGCTATCAAAAGCTTGCATTTTTATCTGCGCAAGTATTCGGTAGATGATACAACTACTGGACTAAGAGCATAATAATAAAGTTGCAAAGGGCAGACCACAAATTAATTATGTCGCCGGAAATACTACCTAAGCTTGAAAGTTGTAAACAAACCATTCCGCCAAGATATTTCTTATTCAGTTCAGTAGAATGTTCAGAATGTAAAGTACTACTCTATCATATACACAGCTAGTCCTAACTTCTACGTTGTACACCCTTTATTTGGTTCTGCATAAGGTCATAAGACGTAATACTGTAATATTGTACGAAAGTATCAATTCAACTATTGCCCCCAGCCTCTTGACTTTTAGGCATGCAACTAATTCCACCGACTTTGCTTATTTTAGCAATCATCATTTTTTCGCGCGTTTGAGCGAGGTCCTGTGGACAACGATTTTCGATAAGTTAATGTTTTAGCGTGCGGTCATGGTCAAAGATAATTGACATTTAATTGTCAGAGTTAATAATGGTTTACCCGGTGAGTTAGTAATCGTAATTCGCAACGACGATCTGTCACACCCTTAGACATCTTTCTGCCGTGTTTACTTAATTTTTCTCGATATACAAAAAGAGTAATACATTACAAGATCTTGATCGACTGCGGATTGATCCGGCATTTTTATTTAAATCCTCGCCTTCCCTGCCTTCGAAATTTCTCTTCAAAGCGAAAATGACTTTATTTCTGAGATCCAGATTTCCTAATATAATACGTCAAGGCATTGTAAATGGTTCTCTACCGCGGAGGTATGAAGCGACTGCGCACTAATTTAGTAACGGCATACAATTACGAATTAATCCGATTACTTTTCACTATAAGGTTCTTCTCACATTCGTCGGTGGCCAGAAGTGCAGGTGCTTTTCCCTCGCTGCACAGCCTAAGTGAGGAAGAGCGAATGCTTCGTGATTCTGGTAACCCAATCAACATGTTCACGATAGAATGCTTTATTGATGAATTGAAGGATCGGCTAATCTTTAATATCTATATCTATTTATAGTCGCCAGTTTCGCCAAGCAAAAGATATTGCCAAAAGTTCAAGAGATGGACGAGAAGGAAAAGCTCGATCCAGAGATTCTTAAAGGACTGTTTGAACAGGGTGTACGTTCAACTCTTTACGATTGAATTGTATTACGTGCATGATTACTGATCAAAAATTTTATTCTAGATTATGGGAATAGAGACTGAAGTCGAGTATGGTGGTGCGGAAAGTTCATTCTTGTCCGCGATCCTGGCAGTTGAAGGTAAGTCATTCACATACTGCATAGTAAAAAGTATTATGTCGTTAAAATGCCAAGTGATTTTGTAGAATTGGCGAAAGTTGATCCTTCTATAAGTGTTATTTGTGACGTTCAGGTGGGTGCAACAGTGGCCCTTATTGCACTCGAATGCTTATTCCATTCTAATAAGCTACCGATATTCGTAGAATACACTTGTAAATACTCTCTTTCGCAAATACGGCAGTGAGTTCCTTAAGGAAAAGTATCTGCCACAGCTTGCTAGTGAGAAGGTACTTATGTAAATGTCTGTTATAGCGAATACCTACAAACTAGAGGCTTACTGTAATTTAATTATTTTATCATAAAGGTTGGTTGCTTCTGCCTCTCTGAGGCTGGGGCAGGGAGTGATGCCTTTGCACTCATAACCCGTGCAGACAAGAAAGACGGACATTATTTATTGAACGGATCCAAGATGTGGATCACTAATTCATTCGAAGCAGAGATTTTCTTGGTATTTGCTAATATAGGTACGACAAATGGCAGGGTCTTGTTGATTGTAAATGGAAAGTTTCGTTATATTGAAAATATTTATTTATACGCTGGTATGCATTTCATCTTTTAGACTTGTCAGCAGGTTATAAGGGTATTACTTGTTTTGTCGTCGAGAAAGACTGGGGCGTGTCTATTGCTAAGAAAGAAACCAAGGTATAGAAGAGTATTTGATATATGCACAGATAGAAATTCTATATGGTATCCTGTACTAATATCATCGATATTTGGTAGCTTGGAATTCGAGCTTCGTCGACTTGCACGGTAAACTTTGACAACGTCAAGGTAAGCATATCAAGTTTTCTCTTCCCCCCTCCCCCACCCCACTCTCCACCCTGATTGATTTTCCTGGTGCTTAGGTTCCCGAGGAAAACGTCCTTGGTGTAGTCGGAAAAGGTAAATGAGGTTGGTGATAGGGATAAAGCCTTTCATAACAACCGAATGGTCTCTAAGGTATCTTTTTTGATCGAAAGGATATAAGTACGCAATAGAAATCTTGAACGAAGGTCGTATTGGAATTGCAGCGCAGATGATCGGCTTAGCGCAAGGAGCGCTTGATAATGCTCTGCCCTACACGTATCAAAGGAAAGCTTTCGGACAGCCAATAGCTGAATTTCAGGTGAGCCTTTTGTAAAATTAATAATAAGGCGCTTGAACGAACGTTTTGATACCTGGCGGATATTAAAAGTTGATGAAAATGTTTATTGATAGGGAATGCAACACCAATTTGCACAAGGTACTTTATAAGAAATTTCGCTGTTTAATATGATCAACTCGAATTGACTGTACTATATGTTACAAATACATAGTTGCGACTGAGATCGAAGCCGCGAGACTTTTAACGTACAACGCAGCCAGGTTAAAAGAGGAAGGCAAGAGTTTTGTCAAAGAAGCTGCTATGGCAAAATTGTTTTCTTCTCAGGTTGCTGAAAAGGTAAGAATATTATCAGAGTTGGAGGACTATGTTGTTGATTTCATACGATTCAATTGCTCAACGTGTGTTGTCTGTCAGGCTGCATCCAAAGCCGTTGAGTGGATGGGAGGAGTTGGATTTACGAGAGAATTTCCAGGTAATTGACAATGTATTGATAATGGAAATGTCTTGGACTACTGATTAACGAAATTTTGTTCTCAATTTAGTTGAGAAGTACTATCGAGATGCTAAGATTGGTGAGTATAGGCTTCTACCGACAAGTACGTCTCTTATCATTATTATATTAACTCCACGATCGAACTTTTCACAGGCGCCATCTACGAAGGAACAAGTAACATCCAGCTATCAACGATAGCTAAAATCATGTCTGTGGACTATAAATAAAGTATGACGTGTTTACTAATGTGTGACTTATCCCGGCTGCTTTCACTTCCTTGTCACTTACTTATTAGAAAGAGATAAACCACCCTTTTTTGAAACATATATCTGGTTTCCTCCAATGATACTTTTGTTGTTCCCTTAATTATAATATTAAACTACTAGACTCACCATTAATCAGTCTAGAAATTTAGTAAAAAAAGTATTATATGATACAAAAGAACTATTGATAGTTGTGCTACAACGGTTAGAGTGATGAATGAGCTTTATACTTATTTAATAGCTTATTGCCATAAATTTAATAGAGTTCATTTCCAGTCTTATAGTCTGATGAAGGCAGATATTGTTAATGTAAACACATGAAAATAATTTAATTCTTTGGAGTTAACACCTACAAATTTCTAGCCACTAGTCAAAATGCACCTTTCTTCCTTTGTCATCGATGAATCCCACTTTGATGCCATTTTATATCAAACGCCTCCTTATCAGGCAAAAGCCAAATAACAGATGGGAATAATTATTGACTATTCATTATAACGTTTTGGGGGGGTTATTACACGGCTTATGGTGCTTAGCCTTAACAAAGAAAGAGACTGCTAAATTTATTTGACTTTTTTCTTGATTATTTATTATATTTTCGTTATCAGATATTACTATTACTATTAAGATTAAATAAAACTAATATTATATGAATACATACAGTATATTATATGGTTAATGATCACACATCAATATAATACAGGGTGGATAAATAATCGAATGACTATCTAACCGGCTTCAGGGATAGATTCTTCACAAGTAGCCAAGTACCTAATTACCGAATCAGTCCCTTAAACCCGTCCACCTCCCCAGTCAATTCAGTTTCTGGTGTAAAGATGAACGATATTTTGACATGAAGGGAAAATTATTTGTATTGTAAACCTGTTCAATTTACGTTATTTGTTTGATTATATTATTCGCGAGCTTTTTTAAAAGTTTGCCACTTTTTCGTTAAATTGGAATGCGTTAGACATGGTACGCTGATTATTGTCGTTTACTGCATTAGGAGGGTAAAATAGTTAACATGGCGATTTTCATTACTGAAATATACAAAGTATTTATATTTTAAAATGTACCGCATGGCAAGGATATTTACGTGGTATCTTACGGATGTCATAAAACGTAATATTGGTAAAATTCTATTACTGTTGTAATAAGATCGCGAATATTAAAGACGCGTCGAAATTTATCGCTTTTTTATAATAATACAATCTACGACTAAGGATTATACCTTGACAAGAAGATATACCTGCAAGAAAAATACCGGTAATGGTCCAGAGTTATTAGGTATGCTAATTAAGAATTAATTAGCTAAAGCGAGTGAAACTTTCGATAGTAATAGAGTTAATTCCTTGTGTTTTATGGGCAATTAGGGCAAAAAAGTCTAAAAAAAATTGCGTTGTAAGCTCTTTGTCCCATTAATATAGAAATACAAATTTTAATTTGATTAAAGAATTATAATCTTGCTTTTTGTTGCAATCCGATAGATGTTGATACTCGAATTTTGTTCATAAAGTCTATCGTTTTTCATATATTGTTATACAAGTGTGGAGGATCCCAATGTTGAAAATTTGACAGAACGGCATTTAATATCGTTGGTGCGAGCAGATGTCCAAAGTTCCACTTAAAGAGTTAATGTTGACTATGTTTAAAGGTTAAGAATAATTAATTTGGATTACCTTAAACGACTGACTACATTATGGCGCGTTGGTGAATTATCAACATGACAATCGTGACGTTACTGCTGATAAATTTTGATTATTTAGTTAATCCCCGTTTCAATATATTATTTTATCCCATGAAAAAGTGGGTTTCTCAGCGCTCAATGCATTACAACAAAAAGAGTTGTTATATGATTTTAGATTTTTGTTGCCCATGATAGAACATAATGCTAAAGTTCTGACAATACCAGACGTCATATAAACTATAATAGAATCACGCTACTGTGATTACCCAACGCAATAATAACCCTATATCATCTTTAGATAAAAAGATGCTTATTTTCAGAACTGTACATACAATATTTTCTCTTTCTCTACAGGGATCGCACTTTAAAAAAGGAATCCTTGAGGGATAACTTGTCATATACAATCACAATACGTGGTTTTTTGGTATAAAAATGGTCTGGGATTATACTGTTTAATTTTAATGGAAGACTGGCGATTCTCAAACTATAGTAATATATTTGTCTTTAACGTAATTCATGATCGAATTTCACGGCTCTTAGAAATTGTTATAAAATTTGGCTGCAATTTAAACAAGTTCGAACAAGCTTCAAAAAAGGAAAAGCTCTCGAGTTCGAACGCGAAAGAAATACAATTCAACTATAGTTTTGTACAAGTTACTATTACCTTTCTTACGGGTATCCGCAACTTTTTATTGGCCCGATCAAAATCAATATCACGTGCGGAGAGCATAGATTGTCGATCAGTAATCACGAGATTTTGTTTTTTGATTTTCCTTTTTTTTTCTTCTTCTTAATCTTCTTTCCTCGTTCAGATGTTCTCCAGACGTCTTTTACGGAACACAAGCTTTTTCACACACACAATTCGCCAAATACACACCCCACATCCTCTAGCGTTTGAACCTCAAAAAGGATTAGGACAATTATTTAAGCCCGAGTCACTGACAAATTTCTATGAACATCACAATCGATTAATAGAAAAATTGAATGCGCTCGTTGCTGGTACGTATAGTATCGAAGAGTAGCTTGACGAAAAATTTTCAAGACACTGATGACAGTTCAAATCCAGATACGGAGTATGAGGATGATTCGTTACGCGTGTTAATCCAAAAGACAGCACAACTTCCTGAGAAGGCTCAGCTATTCAATTACGCATCACAAATATGGAATAATGATTTTTTCCTCCAATCTCTGGTAATGATCACTTGGTTTTCGTGATGATTTGTATATCTCTTAAAAGATGTCTATTCACAGTTTCTTTCTACAGTCCGACGACTCAGAGTCGCAAAGAGATGCAGTACTTACCGATCGGCTCAAGAAGGAATTTGGATCGCAAGAGAATTTTGACACTCAAGTAAGAAGCAGGGGTTTTATTACCCTTCTTAGAACCGCGTGACAAGGATATCTAACAAGTGATTTAGTTCATTAATAGTGCGTTGGCAATATTTGGATCTGGATGGACCTGGTGAGAAACGAAAAGCATACAACGATCTGTTGTCGGAACGGATCACATAGAACGGGACTCTTACCGGCTTTATAATTTTCTTTTTTAAAAAAAAGGTTGGCTGAGACGGAATACCAAGTGCTACGAGTAATCAATTCTTATAACGCAGGTAAGACAACGTTGCTTTTCGTTTCATCCATATGTAACCTTTCATTTGACTTGATCATTTCCTTTAGGCACGGTCCTTGATACAACGCGAACTCAAGAGAACGATCTAAACACCAGCATTCCCAACCCTTCCGCAGGAGCGCAGCTCCAACCGACTAAGCTGAACCCATTATTATCCGTGTGTGTATGGGAACACGCGTACTTACGTGACCACGGAATAGATGGGAGAGAACGTTACTTAAAGGCATTCTTACAACATGTAAACTGGGGGGTCGTTGGAAAGAGGATGGGGTTATAACACCACTATAGAACTAAGAAATCCATTTATCTCATGAACTATAATAATACTTAAATAATTCTCACTTTTTGCATATGTCACAAAGAACGTATTTAGAGTCGTCTAATTTTTATTACGTAACGCAATGATTGTCATGTTGTAGCTAAGTATACATTTTGGACAAGATTAGAAGATTGGTTTTACTAGTAAATTTTGCTCTGTTTAGGCTTATTGTATTAAGCCTCGCAATCGAAAATAGAACGAGACATAAAAGTTGGCAAATTAAATTCAAAATAAAAGCAGTTTCAATTTACAAAGTGCCATTGTTTGTGTTTAATAAGAACGCGTTCGCATGTTAGCATTTGGTCAAGTTTTAGAAGACAATTAAATTCTTGTGTTTATTGGTAAATTTGCTCTGCGAAGTAATGGCGGGGTCATTTTTATTGTAATGACGTAATAATGTAACTTCAGCATTTATGATACAGGCTTGAACGCGATTTTGCATACTAGTAATACTGTTAAGACTATATTCTCGGGATTTTTTCCCCATTCCTCTTTTACTAATGCAATTGTGCCGGAAATCTCAAGTCTTCCGTATTAGTATCACATGCTGAGTCATTCTTGTTAAGGATATTTCTTCTTGCATTAAATATGCTGGAAGTCGCGTTTTGCGAAATAAATACATCATTGGGCATAGTATCATATTCAGGAACAATTTGTTATGAATCTTCCAGTGCATGTATTATTTATCACTAGCAAAGTCGACAGATACAATAACGCAGATGAAAATATTTCGCGCTCAACATTATACAGGATAACAAATGAACGAACGATGCGCTTGTAAGCAGATAGCTTATACTAAATATATTATACTTAAATATTGACCAATCCAATCTAAACGTTTGATGTCCGCTCCGACATATTCACTTCAACATGTAACGTGGATCGATCCGTCCAAATTCACATGACTGGGTAAACTTTCTTCACTCCTTCCGGAATTATTAGATGCATTGCTTATTACCTTTCTAACAGTTGCCGGGCACGCGCTGTGTTCTTCTAAAGTGTTACCAAGAATATTGGGACCGTCTCTTAATGTGATGTGACAATATTCGAGCTTGGATTTTTGGAAGACAAACAGCGCGCGTATTTGCAGGCTATGATTAAATATATTCCTCGATATCGTCTTAGTGTAAATAAGCATGGCACAAGCAAAAATACGATCCATTTCCGAATATCATCTTTTTTATTCATAAAAAATCATAGTCATCGAGCTAAAAAAAAAAAGATAGCAATCAGAAATTTTCTCTTTCTAGCATGACGGTTTTGATGAAAAATAAGGTGTCTTGACTTACTTGATCGTTGTACGTCATAATCTTGCGCTTTATCTTCGAAGTGTCAACCCACGTTATAAAATCCTCGAGATTTCTAATAATAAAGAAAAATTCAGAAGTATAAGTATCTTAATATACATAGGACGTACACGAGCAAGAGCTTAAACTAGAGGTGCTCTCTCGTGCAATATAACGAGAGTGTATTGCAATATTCTCCAGTATCTCCATGTACCATAAGGTTTCTCTCCATAAAGTCTCCTTGATCTTACCTCGTAACCAAATATGCCGGATCAGTGATAGTCTCGGGACCAACTCTCACATGCCCTTGTTCGACAAAAGTTATGGCTTCTTTTACAGTTTCGGCCATTTTTAAACGACACATCACTATTGGTAGTCGACGTCTAAATGCCATAAGTATTACATGTAAGCGTATAATTTCAAGATTCGAACATTGTAGCATATCTTTATCCAAACCACATCGTACGTATTCTTATACATAACGCTCCTCCTGATTTATTTTTTTTCTTACCTACAAAAGGCCGAAACTGTAATCCCATCTACAGCAGAAAATTGTGATTTGGCTGTAATTAAGCCCATCTGATACAGCTTCTCTAATAAGGCTTCTTCCTTTTTCGCTCTGAAAGGATCGCGCGGATTGAGTAATGAAATCCGGTTTGCAAGCTTTTTTATGGCACCACAGAGCTTGTTGTACTTGTAATAGTCTTCGCGATTCTGGACGTGATAACGGCGAAGAACTTTAATTTCGCGGAGATTGTTTTCATTTTTCCACTAGGTGTATAACAAGGGTTAGCAAACGCAGAATCGACCACACAGTAGACCGAGACCGACAGGATCATACAATTTACTTACATGTATAAAGTCTACTTTCTTAAGCAGTTTTTGTTCATGGTACTTTAGCTTTCGAACCATCTTCTATGTTCAAAGTGTGTTTAAAAAAAGCTCGGGAATCGACAAAACTTTTCATTACTTGTTGCAGGTACTGTATACCAATATTAGAAATATTTGATGGAGATCACTAAAATATTGTCTGCGTAAAATTGAAGCACATCAGCACATCCCTCCCTTCCTGCTTTCTTGCCACTACACGCATTATTACGATTTTTGTAAACCGACCTGGTTGAAATAGAAAATACCATTGAGATTATCAACCAGCTTTGGTGCTTTTTAACATAACCTCTGCAGTTAATTGAATCTATCACTAGAAACCGGGAACATTGGCATTACGACGTCGAATCTTATGGTGCTTCCTCAAATAATACGCTCTAAATTGGTGGATTACTTATACTTTTAGAGTAAACTGTAATCTTGATTATCTAAATTTCGAATTTGAAATCTGAGTTTGCCGTCTAGCGAAACGCCTCATACTTGATAACTTTTAAATCTAAGCATTCCGATGGCATTCTTCGCATAAGATACCAATTTATTGACTAAGATATTAATATACGTGTCATCCTATCAATCATGAATACGCATTGTCATTATCGACCCCGCCATCAGCTAGTTTCTAGGGCAAATACCCAAGGCCCACTTTTTCTAATAGTTTGATTATTATTTCTCGAACTTGGTCGGGATTTGTTTTTATGTTATTTACCATATTTGATTTAATTCTTGTATTTTTTTATTTATTTATTTAGTGTTTGAAAAATAAAGAAATTAAACAATTGGCAATTATAAAGGATGTGCGTTCATGAACACGCATCGCCTAACAAAATCGGGTCATGTGAAAGGATGTACCCACTACCAACGTAAGATTATCACAATACAATTTGTCCACGTGACGCACACGCAGTTGAGGAAAATTGAATATAATAATAATAATTAACTACGTCGCTCTGAATTGACACAACACATAATGGAGGAGACACAGGGAAAGAAAAATCGTAACATAGAAACGGTTGTTGAAACGCCCAATAATTTAGACTTGGAGTCTTACATAGCAAACTACAAAGGCAAGACATTAGAACTTTTCATACGATTGCAATGATACATTCTGACCGTTTACATTTCTCTTAGGACATACAAAGGTCGATCGTCTTCTCTTCATAGGAAAGCGGTGCCCCTCTCTTCAAATAGATGCCTATAAACTAGCCTTGGCCGAATTGCACAGAAACTCACTAGATCATAATAAATACCTCACTACAGCCGCTAATTTAAATGAAATACTTAGTTCGCAAGGAAAACCTCTATATCAACTCGACTCTAGATGGGTAGATACAGCACAGAAACGAGCCAAAGCAATTCTAGAGAGATTGGAAGGAGAGTTGAAGAACTACAAGAATAATTTAATAAAAGAGAGTATAAGGGTACTGTGGATCATTCCTTTTGGATCTTATTGATATTTGACAATTAGTTCTTCCCTGCTTACTCCTCTCTCTCTTCTCTTACGTATAGATGGGACATAAAGACTTGGGTGATCATCAATACGAATGTGGCAATTTGACGGGTGCATTGAAATGCTATTCTCGAACGCGCGATTACTGCACATCAACCGATCATATCATAGACATGTGTTTGAATGTCATCAAAGTCTCTATAGAACTGGGCAATTACTCGCATGTACACAGCTATGTGATCAAAGCGGAAACGACCCCGGATCTAAAAACAGTCGTGCAAGCAAAGCTAAAAGTAGCGGCTGCATTGGCAAATCTCGACGGTAACAAGTACAAAGTCGCGGCTCGAAATTTCCTAGAGACTAGTTTTGAACTTGGAAATAATTATTCAGAGGTCATTATTTACCAAAACACTTTATGATTTGACTCGCATTGTATAATTCTCAATTTATTTTTGTTTATTTTGCTTGCTATATTTTTTTTATTGAAGGTTATTGCACCAAACGATGTAGCAGTATATGGAGGCTTGTGTGCGCTTGCTTCGTTTGATCGAACGGAGCTCAAGAGCAAAGTCATTGATAATAACGAATTCAAGCAATTTCTTGAACTCGAGCCTCACATTCGCGAACTAATTCATGGATTTTATAATTCAAAGTACTCGGCAGTACTTGACATTATGGAAAAGTGGAAGGTAAACATTATATTGTCTTGATAAAGTTATTCGAAAGCACTTTTCTCATAGTTTATTGCTTATTATGTTCATTATTTTCTTTCTCTCTATAGAACGATTATCTTCTAGACATACATTTACACAACCATGTACAGACGCTGTACGATAATATTCGTAAGAAAGCCCTAGTACAGTATTTTAGCCCTTTCCTGACAGTGGATATGAACAAGATGGCCCGGTCTTTTTCAACAAATGTCCCAGCGTTAGAAAAAGAGCTTGCAAAATTGATCACTACTGGTCACATTCAAGCAAGGATTGACAGTCACAACAAGGTATTTTTTTCGCGCGCGCGTTGTATGCTGTCGCTAATGAATAATCCAAGTGGCAATGAGCGAGATAACCAAACCCGCTCCATTTTTCAGATTTTATGTGCGAAGCAGCAAGATCAACGCAGCAACATATTCATAAAGTCTCTTCGTATGGGCAACGAGTATGAGAGTAATACCAATGCGATGCTCTTGCGGATGAACCTCCTGAAGTCTAACCTTGTCGTTACAAGGGAATCAAGGTAATTATACGGTCCGAATTAATTTCTCAATCGTCAGCTGCATTGAGTGCTGTTGGTCATTTATATCACACTCACCGAATCGTAATCACTACCAATATGCAGAATACCGGAAGATAAAATTGGCCTAACGAGAATCCTTTAATGTTTATACATTACTTCCATAAGTACATATGTGATTACATCCTATTATTCTAAATTGTATTTCTTACTAAATACTTATAGATAAAGTGTTGCACGTGAAAGTGCTCAAATGCTATTATACATTCAGCTCGTGAAGAGCTTTGTTTGCGCCTGCAATTATCAGACGATGTTCTACGGAATGTATGCGTGCTTCTAAATCGTCTAGCGTGTCTGTCTCTAATATAGCAACTTCTTCGACCATAATCGGCTCACCTCTGTCGACTTCTGGGATAACCTTATGAACCATCACTCCAGTATTTTGTATCTCCCCTCGTTTGTATGCCTCGTACGCACGTCTAATTGCATCTGTTCCATCAAATTGTCCCGGGAGAGCAGGGTGCAAATTAATAACGGTTTTTTGCGCGAAATGTTCCAGGAATTGATTAGAAAGTATCAGCATCCATCCTGCGAGAACTACCAGGTCTGGTTCGTAAGCTTTTATTTTTGTAGCCAAGTCGATATCATATTCTATTCGCGATTTCCCCGCATCTCTGTATGCTTGTAGCGGAAACACTAAAGTAGGGATGTTTGCCGCTTCTGCACGCTTTAAACCATATGCAGTGGCCTTACTCGAAACAACCAGACTTATGGTTGCTTTTAGAGTTCCGTTGTTAACGGCATCGATTAGAGCCTGAAGATTGGAACCGAAACCTGATATCAGCACAACAATTCGCGGCGACATCGTATCAGCGCGCAAGTTTTCTTGGGTCACCTAATTTAAGCACTCAATGGTCACGTGATAAAGTTTCGAGTGATCATTACCAAAAGTGATTTTCACACAAAAATAATTCTTGTGATCTAAAAAATTCCAGAAATGATATACTGTAAATCGCGACAATAATTACAGCGACTTTTTATTTTTGGGCCCAACGCAATACTTTCAAATTCTATAGTGTGCTAAAAATCCATTGACGATGATAATGTAACCCGTCGCCTACGATGATCAGAAGCAATCGTTACATGAAAATTATCGGCAGCTCTTGTTTATGACATATTTATTCCAATAAAAAGAGTAAAGTATATCTTACATGCCATGGCTGATTATAATAAAATGGTTCTATTAATCAAACAAAGCGCTGCTCAAAAGGCAAAATTAAATCTTGGGTTAGAAGAGTATAAGTACACCAACTTCAGTAGTCAAATACAAGTGGGTCTCGATATAATGACACGCTCGGTTCCAATCCAAATGGTCATTACTACGTATATCGAGAATTAACTTACAGACGACAACTAAGCAATATAAAATTTTTGTTTTAAGATTTCTGTCGTTATAACAAGATGTCGTTATACACAGTGTTGTTATATCGAAACTCACTTGTATCGCATATTTTCGTTAAACGATTACTCGCCCGTTTTGTTACTTAATATGGTTAAAACACAATATATAATCTCAATAGCGTCTTTTGTTTAGAATGTATGTTAAAGTACAATTAATAATAACCCCCTGCCCCCTCCCACAATACAAGTTTTGTAATGAGCAGATTTATGTATTGTTTGATATCGAATTTACGTATTGTCTTCAACGCCCGAGATAATAATACGTCGATTGATATTAAAACCTCGGCTCTCAGCAATGTCCAAGTCATTTTTTATTATTTGCACGCAAAAATATGGACGGTTTCAAGCACTACTGTCAAATTTTTATTGAAGGCCTTGCTAAGCGTGCCTATATAGTACAAATTAATTCTCACAGATTATGGGACGAATGCAAAAACATAATCAAACAACTTCACATTTCACTCACAGAGCGTATCAGTCCAAGTAAACAGTTTGCCGAAAGCGTCAATAAAGACCAAGTTTTTCATGCTCAACCCATGAATCAAAACCAGGTATCGTACATGGAAGACATTATCAACTTTATTGACAGATTAAGTGTTGACGTTCAACTGGAGAAGAGACTTGATGAGATACAGCTTTTTAAAATGAATCTTGTGAGAGATGACAAAGACCCATTAACTCTATGCGTAATAGATTTTTGGAAAGTTTTTACCAAGACGTTCGCCAACCCTCTATCATGCGCACACGCGACTGCGAGAGTTGCCAAAGTGTTGACTAAACATTATGCCCTGCTGAGAGAAATGAATCAACCACCATTCGGAAAGAGGCTTCATTATATAATAATTTCCGAACATTTATCTGGCATTCACCTATCATTACAGACAATTTATAAAAAAGTCTTCCAAGAAGACAAAATCGTACCAAACTTGTGGGACAATAGCAGTACGGTCGCGTTAAAGATAAAACAGCTTAAAAAAGACATAGACAAGATGGTATTACGCCTTAGTGCAACTCGGGAATACATAATTGCAAGGAACCCAAACGAGAGCATTTATCTCCTTCCTGTTGAGATTTCCCTGAAATTGCAAGACGACTTTTCACACTTTAAGCAACTCATATTTGACGTTTTAGATGTTGTTATTAAGAGACTAGAAAGCATCAAAGTAAGATCCTTGGACGTTACAGATAAATTGCAAGCCTTTTGGAAAATGCTTAATGATGAACCTTCCTACTATCAGTTAGTTCACGGGCTATTCAAACTGCTATTATATCTTAATGAACAAAGACTTGAAGATAGTAAAAGTGTCCAACAATTTATACCCGAGTATTTTATAGAGGACACCCCATTCGACGGTGTGAAAAATATTTTAGAGTGTTTGTTAAAGATTCAAGGAAGGTTGATTAAAAGCCTTGATCTGCTTCAGGATAAGGTAAGCTCAAAACTTACATCACGTCATCTAGAAAAAGCATTTATGAGCTAATAATTTGATTTTATATTTTAGCACTGCGTACCTAAATTGGTTGGAGAAATTGACTCCTGCAAAGTATATACAGCTGACACAAGCCGTTCGTTAACCAACGTTGATAACGAAGAGAAAGCTGAGAGGATAAACCAATCATTCTACTATCGACGCACGGAATTATTTTCTCCGCAAACACATGAATTGCCTCAAGAATGTCTGTCGCTCGATGAGCAATTTATCGAAATCATTGACCATATAGACGAGTTGCTAAATGGCCAAAGTGAGGTTTCTTTACAATCAAGTGACATAGAGTGTTTGAGTTATATTAAACGCGAATGTGAGAATGAATTATTGAGAGCGCAATTGAAAGCAGAATACCTTACTGACCAATCAATATTTCTTATCACTGCAATAACCAACAGAGGGCAGTAAAAGAAGACTTTATTGAATGGCTTATAAGCACTGATAATATGTTCTTCATTTCACTCTCATAATACATACACATATATATATTAGGTACTGTTATAACTGTAACTCGTATGAAATAAAGTCTTATCACAATCGAAACGTTCGTGGCTAATCCAATAATGCACTTCTCTTGCCGTTGGATTATATCACACATAATAATTGGGTTAGAACGTCAAGAAAAAGGATCATAGCAGTGTATTTTTCTCTTGCAAATTCTTCTAGTGATAGTTAAGAGTCTCCTGATGGAACAAGTTCTGAAGATAATGAACTGAAGCTGGGAGTTGACATAATTGAATACGTGTGTCTGATGGTTTTTATTACCTAAATTAGATACCCAAACCAAATTTGGAAAGAGAAAAGTTAAATGTTACCCACGGATGACTAGAAAACTTCTTATTCAAACGATGTCATTAGTTCAAGGGGTTAATAATCCAGTAATTGACAACTTGGTTCAATCCTCCTTGGAAAGCGAAGATGAAGACTTAAGACTTGAATGGATTCATTACGAGGAAATCACCAACATAGAGCCAACTCAAATTGACAACGTCTACAACGCTAATCGCCAATACACACTAGACGATGGTGAAAGCATGATAATGCTGTTATGCCTTGGAAACAACGAAGAATGTATAACAATACTTGTGAGTGAGTTTGCCAGAATATACTCACTTCCGACACACAAGCACGATAGTAATAGCAACAACTTCAAAAGATATTCCACATGGCTTAAAAAGCGCAACAAACTCATAAAGGGTTTTACCAAGTCTAATGACACGTATTACATGGTTGCTGATAAATGCTTTTACGATTATTATTCTCGATATGGATTCTGCTCCGCATGTGGAATACTCCGATGTAGTCCCGTGTGGTGCATTTGTGGACATAAAC